CTCCATCTCAAAAAAAAAAAGACCGGCATGTCAAATAATTGTCAAGGATTTAGAGCAACTGGAAATTACAAGATGGTACAAGCACTTGGGGAAACTATATGGCATTTTCTCACCAAGGTTAACATGTATCTACCCCTGAGAAGCAGCAGTTCACCCTTAGGTATTTATCCAAGAGGAATTTTTTAATGTGTCCACGCAGAGATTTGTATCTGAATATTCATAAGAGCTAAAAGCTAGAAACATCCTGATGACCGTGAAGAGGTAGATGGAATGAAGTATATGCACGCAGTGGAATGCAATTCAGCTGTGAAAACGCACAGCAAATCCACACAACAACATAAGGGAATTCCAGGAACTTTATGCCGGAAAAAAAAGCCAGACTTAAAAGGATCCGTTATTTAACTGGTAAAACTAGTCTCCAGTGATAGAAATTCCAACAGTGGTTGTCTCTGGGCCATGACCTGTTACCTGAAAGGGGGTTAGGGGGAAATTTCTGCAGGTGATGGCTGCATTCTGTGTCTTCATTGGTTCCACAGGTACATGCATGTGACAAAACTATTGAACTCTATCAAGGGTGGGGCTGGGTGTGGAGCAACTGGAAATTTCTTTTTTTTTTTGAGGCCGAGTCCTACTCCTGTCAGCCTCAGCGCTCGGAGTGCCTGTGGCCAGATCTCCTCAAGCTCACTACAGGAGCTCTGCCTCCCAGGTATAGCCATTCTCTTGCCCTCAGCCTCCCGAGTAGTACTGCGGACTGACAGGCGCCCGGCCACCGTCGCCCGGCTAGTTTTTTATGTTATTTTTAGTAGAACGGGTTTCACCGTTTACCAGGATGTCTCGATCTCCCCTGACCTCGTGATCCCGTCCCTCCCCCCAAAGTGCGGGATGACAGAGCCTTGAGCCACCGCGCCCTAAGCCTGGAAATTTTCTTTATTTTTATTTTTATCTTTGTGTTTTTTTGGACACGACTCTCACTCGTCCCCCAGCTGGAGCGCAGTGGCGCGATCTCGCGCTCACTGCGAAGCTCCGCCTCCCGCGGCTTACCACGGCCATTCTCCTGCCTCAGCCCTCCTGACCTTAGCTTGGGGACTACAAGCCCGAGCCAGGCAACCGCTAACGGTTTTCGTTTTTTTGCTATTTTTAGTAGAGAGCGGCGTTTCACCGTGTCTCGAGACTCTCGCTGAACCGGCTCCTTGTGATCTGCCCCGCCTCAGCCTCCCAAAGTGCTGGGATCACAGGCGTGAAGCCACCGCTGCCCAGCAACAACTGAAATTTCTTACATTACTGTGGAAATGCAGATGGTACAGCAATTTGGGTTTTTTGGTTTTTTTGTTGTTGGTTTTTTTTTGTTTTTTTGTTTTGTTTTGTTTTGTTTTTTGAGACAGAGCCTCCCTCTGTCACCTAGCCTGGATTGCAGTGGTGCAGTCTCACCTGGAGCGTGTTTTCGCATGACTTTCCTAGCAGCACATCCCAGGAGGTTTCTTAGGCCACACAGTGTCTAAAGCTGCAGGTGGCTTTGGGCCAGGTGCCCTCCAATGGGGGCCATGAACAAAGTGGAGCCGGACACCAGCACAGTGCTTCCCAACAGAATCCAGGGGTCACTTCTGCTTTTATAATTGAATAAGTAAAACAGCATCTGAATGATCTTTTAATTTGTGTTTCTTTTATTTTTAAAATTTTTGTTTTATTTATTTTATTTTATTTTATTTTTTTGAGACAGAGTCTCGCTCTGTCGCCCAGGCTGGAGTGCAATGGCACAATCTCAGCTCACCTCAACCTCTGCCTTGCGGGTTCAAGTGATTCTCCTGCCCTAGTCTCCTGAGTGGCTGGGACCACAGATGCACGCCAGCATGCCCAGCTAATTTTTGTATTTTTAACAGAGACGGGGTCTCACCATGTTGGCCAGGCTGTTCTTGAACTCGACCTCAAGTGATCCATTCACCTCGGCCTCCCAAGGTGCTGGGATTACAGGCGTGAGCCACCGCCCCCGGCCTTATTTTTAAAATATAGATGGGGTCTCGCTATGTTGCCCGAGGTGGTCTCAAACTTTGGGGCTCAAGCACAATCCTGCATTGGCCTCCCAAAGTGCTGAGATTACAGGTGTGAGCCGCTGTGCCCAGCCTTGGTACAGCCAATTTGGAAGAGTTTTTCAGTTTTTTACACTGTTAAACATATCTGTATTAAACATATTTTTACAGTGTTAAACAACTTCTCACCCAGCAATCTCACTCCTAGGTGTTTACCCAAGAGAAATGAAATGTGTATTCAGACAGAAACCTGTACACAAATGTTTGTAGTGGTTTTGCGAAGAAGTGCCAAAACTAGAAACGGTCCACATGACCATCAACTGGTGAATGAATAAACAGCTTCAAGTTTACCCAGTGGAACACTGCACAGAAAGGAAACAGGACCTTGTAACAACTTGGATGAGTCTCAAACTGCTTGAGTCTTCTGAATGAGAAGACATCTTTACACTGAATGAACAAAGCTGTTCCTTTGCTCATGTGCATGGAACAGCTAAGGCCATGCTGCACATTGCCCTATCCTGTGTGTAAAATGGACTGGGACCAGGCACGGTGGCTCACGCCTGTAATCCCGGCATTTTGGGAGGCCAAGGCAGGTGGATCATTTGCGGTCAGGAGTTCGAGACCAACCTGGCCAACATGGTGAAACCCCATCTCTACTAAAAATACCAAAAAAAATTAGCCAGGCGTGGTAGTGGGCACCTCTAATCCCAGCTACTTGGGAGGATGAGGCAGGACAATCGCTTGAAACTGGGAGGCAGAGTTGCAGTGAGCCGAGATCACACCATTGCACTCCAGCCTGGGCAACAAGAGCGAAACTTCATCCTAAAAAAGAAGAAGAAGAAAAAAAACCTACTGTTGGAGAGATTCTGTGAGACACACCCTTAATCTATCCACAGAGCCTTTAGTGTCGCTAACGGGTACTCTGAGGCACCATTTTTTTGACATCAGATGCTCAGTGGGTCACACCTGTAATCCCAGCACTTTGGGAGACCGAGGCAGGAGAATCACTTGAGCCCAGGAGTTCGAGACCAGCCTGGCCAACGTGGTGAAATCCTGTCTCTACTAAAAATACAAAAATTAGCTGGGCATGGTGGTGCGCGCCTGTAATCCCAGCTACTCAGGAGGCTGAGACAGGAGAATCGCTTGCACCCAGGAGGCAGAGCTTGTAGTGGGCCGAGATCACACCATTGCACTCCAGCCTGGGGCAACAGAGTGAGACTCCGTCTCAATTTAAAAAGAAAATAAAAGTTAGGCCTGGTAGCGCACACCTGTAGTCCCAGCCACTCGGGGGCTGAGGTGGGAGGATTATTTAAGCCCAGGAGAGGCTCTAGTGAGCTTGATTGTGCCACTGCACTCCAGCCTGGGCAGCAGAGTGAGTTCGTGTCTCAAAACAAAAAAGATTTCCAGTTGGGCGCAGTGGCTCACACCTGTAATCTCAGCACTTTGGGAGGCAGAGGCAGGCGAATCACAAGGTCAGGAGTTCAAGACCAGCCTGACCAACATGGTGAAACCTCGCCTGTACTAAAAATACAAAAGTTAGCCAGGCATGGTGGTGCGCGCCTGTAATCCCAGACACTCAGGAGGCTGAGGCAGCAGAATCGTTTGAACCTGGGAGGTGGAGGTTGCAGTCAGCTGAGATCACGCCACTGCACTCCAGCCTGAGTGACAGAACGAGACACTCTCTCAAAAAAAAAAAAGTTTCCAATCACATCCTGAGCATCGTCTCTAGAACACATTTTCTTGGCAGTGCCATATAGTTTATCCTTACTCGACAGTCATTTTCTTATTTTAGCATCATTTGCCATATGGGGAGGCTAAAACATTTCGAAACTATTAATTCTGTCTCCTTTTTGGTTAAAATCTTTCTCTTAGTTAATGCACTCCTCTCACATTTTACTATAACCAGCAGGAAGACACCAGGCAGCATCTTCAATACTTTGCTTGGAAAATCTCATTAGCTAGGTCACCCCACTTATTAGGTATATTCTTTTTTTTTTTTTTTTTGAGGCAGAGTCTCGCTCTGTCGCCCAGGCTGGAGTGCAGTGGCGCAATCTCGGCTCACTGCAAGCTCCGCCTCCCGGGTTCACGCCATTCTCCTGCCTCAGCCTCCCGAGTAGCTGGGACCACAGGCGCCCGCCACCTCGCCCGGCTAATTTTTTTTTTTTTTAGTAGAGACGGAGTTTCACCGTGTTAGCCAGGATGGTCTCGATCTCCTGACCTCGTGATCCACCTGCCTCGGCCTCCCAAAGTGCAGGGATTACAGGCGTGAGCCCCCGTGCCCGGCCTTATTAGGTATATTCTGTCCTATCCACGTAACTTCAAGTAACAGCAGGGCTCAAATTTCTGCTGCTACTTAGTGAAAGTCTTCTTTCAATTTCCAATAACATTTTTCTCACTTTCTTTTAAGCCTTCTTCAGCAATGTCCTCAAAGTCCAAAGTCTAAGAACAGTGTGTTCAAAGCACTTTCGTGTCATCAACACTCTCCTCAAACCCTGGTCCCAGAGCCACGCCCACTTCCTCAAACCCTGGTCCCAGAGCCACGCCCACTTCCTCAAACCCGGCCCTAGAGCCACGCCCACTTCCCAGAACCCGGTCCCAGAGCCACGCCCACTTCCTCGAAGCCGGCCCCAGAGCCACGCCCACTTCCTCAAACCCGGTCCCAGAGCCACGCCCACTCCCTCAAACCCGGTCCCAGAGCCACGCCCACTCCCTCAAACCCGGTCCCAGAGCCACGCCCACTCCCTCAAACCCGGTCCCAGAGCCACGCCCACTTAGGTTTTGCTGCAGCAGCATCTCCTCTCTGTACCGAAATCTGTGTGTCCAAGAGCAGAGCCGTTAATACGCATGTGTGTGAGACATACATACACGTATATGTGTGTGTATATGTATCACCCATAGATACTGGTAATCGTGGACTTGCTGCGGGCTTTGCTCTTACACAGTTAATTGTGTAAACTGATTAATCCGTGTCCATAGGGCTGCCTATTGTCTGCATTCGATGCTGGAGCCTGCTGTCCACAAGGCTTGCGTCAGGAAAGGAAGATGGATGTAAAGTGAGAGGAAGGAACAAGCTGGCATGCCCATTGTGTGCTGGGGCCCCGCAGCGGGGACCCAAACCTGCCTCCGTTCTTGCTGCTTCTGGCCTTGGTGGTGTGGAGGTGCTGCAGAGCCTAGGGCCTCTCATCGTGACGACGAGCCAGAGGCCTCCTTCGGGAGCCAGAGGATCCAGAGAGTCAACGAAAATAAAACTTCAGACTGTCTGATTTATTGTGCCAGGGAGGAAGTTGAGCCCTAGAGACTGTCAGGTTGCATCACTGCAGTTCTCAGATTCACTCTCTTCCCCATTGTTCTTGTTCTGTAAATGGCTAAGAGGGACCAGAGACCAGACCGCCCCGCTTCCAACCACTGGTTTTGTTATACATGAACCGCCTCTTTTCTGTCCTGTATCTGACGCGGACCAGACGGTGCTCAAGACGCTATCACTAGTACCTCTTCCATGCGGAATGTTAAATACGCCTTGCTAGGAAGAAAAAGACCAACTTGGCTAATCAGATGCTCATAACTGTGCATGAAGTCTGACAGAGAGAGAGGTTCACATGTTGGTACACTTGCCTAACCTTTGTCTGAATAAGCATTCCCAAACATCTACACTTTGGAACACTGACCTCTGTTCTTTGACATCTGTAGGCCGGGCGCGGTGGCTCACGCCTGTAATCCCAGCACTTTGGGAGGCTGAGGTGGGCGGATCACCTGAGGTCAGGAGTTTGAAACTAGCCTGGCCAACAAGGTGAAACCCCATCTCTACTAAAAATACAAAAATTAGCCGGGCGTGGTGGCGGGCACCCGTAATCCCAGCTACTCGGGAGGCTGAAGCAGGAGAATCGCTTGAACCTGGGAGGCGGAGGTTGCAGTGAGCCGAGACTGTGCCACTGCACTCCAGCCTGGGCGACAGAGAGAGACTCCATCTCAAAAAAAAAAAAGCTGTGCTTCCCGGGTAGCCCATCCTCAAACTTTTCGCTTGAATAAACTCTCTTTAAACTAGATTCTGATCCTTTTGATTATTTTAGGTTGACAAGAAGAAGGCGGTAGTGGTGTCCTGGCCATGGTGGTGGTAACAGTGTAAGCTGTCGGACAAACACAGCCACAGCTCCCTGCCTCTCCCCAAGCCTCCGCCAACGCCTCCCTCCTGGTCTTCCGGAAACACAGGAAGAAGAACTCTAGTAAACGCTGGTCAGCTTAGCCAGCTCCACGTGCTGCAAAGCCACCATATCAATTCGTGGCATCCTTAAGAAAGAGTAGTTTGGCCGGGTGCGGTGGCTCACGCCTGTAATCCCAGCACTTTGGGAGGCCAAGGCGGGTGGATCACCTGAGGTCAGGAGTTCGAGAGCAGCCTGGCCAACATGGAGAAACCTGTCTCTACTACAAATATAGAAAATTAGCTGGGCATGTTGGTGCATGCCTGTAATCCCAGCTACTCAGGAGGCTGAGGCAGGAGAATCACTTCAACCCGGGAGGCGGAGGTTTCAGTGAGCTGACATCGCGCCACTGCACTCCAGCGTGGTGACCACGCAAGACTCCGTCTCAAAAAAAAAATAGTAATTTATTATAAGGAAGTCCTTATACTGTTGCCTGTGGCTGCTGTAACACATTACCATAAACCTGGTGGCTTAAAACAACAGATATTCATTCTCTTGAAGTTCTGGAGGCCCGAAGGCCAAAATTTAAGGGAGCGATAGGGCCGTGCCCCCTCTATTCTCTGCCTCCCCAGTTTCTGGGGGCTGCCAGCATTCTGTGACTGTGACTGTGACTGTGTGGCTGCTTCACTCCCCTCTGTGTTCACACTGCCTCTTTCTAGGTCTGCTCTCTGCGCGTCTCTTGTAAGCACACTGTTTATTGGATTTAGGGCCCCTTCGGATAATCTAAGATGATTCCATCTCAATAACTTAGTCATATCTGCTAAGACCCTTTTTCTTCATGTAAGGTAACTCTTAAGTCTGTCAGGACTTCTATAACAAAGCACCATAGACTGGGTGGCTATAAACAGGAGAAATGTATTACTCACAGTTCTGGAAGCTGAGCACCCAAGATCACGGCACCACAGAGTTGGTGTCTGGTGAGGGAATGGAGGAATCTGAATCCAAAAATGCATGCTGTGTTGCATGCTGTGTTGCATGCTGTGTTGCATGCTGTGCTTCACGCTGGAGGAGAGCCGTCTCCCTGTTCCGCTGCTGTTTGTTTCTCTGCCTGTTACTTCTGCTTTCTCACCTTTCCTTGCTGTGCTTTTCCTGTAGTGGTTGGAGGGTGGATGCTCACAGATTCCAAACGCACGTGACCAGTTCTTGGCTCCAGCCTTGGCCTGGGTTCCCCAGAAATACAACCTGAGACAAAGCCATAGGTGCCTCCACTCCGAGATAGGGTGCGGTGCCCGTAGTGGGAGTCAGAGAGTGCTCTAGCAGGAGGAGGAGAGAGATGGAGGAGGAGGGGGAGAGCTGGTGGATGTGGGGCCATCTCAGTAAGCTGGCACTGCTCAGTGTGCCTGCCCCGCCTCTCGGCATGTCCCTAGAAGCCATGTGGACTGCATCAGGAAGGAAAGAGGAATCTGCCTGTGAGTGCCTCTCGTTGGTCAAAGGTGCAGGGAACGTTAAGTCTCTGCACAACCGCATGGGTCATGTGTGATTTCAGAGGACTCTGATGTCTCCTGGTGACAGGGAAGCCCCAGGGCAGGAGGTAAGAGATCCAGGCGGGCACCAGGGAGACCTGCGGTTGGGTTCTTGGTTGGAGTCCACGTATTTTCACTGCAGAAGAAACCAAAGTCCTGAAGATAGGCGGTGATGTGAGGGAGAAAGTTCCAACTCTGAACTCCCAACCAAGGTTCCCAGGGCGAGTCAGCTCGGGTCAGGTGCCCACTCCAGCTTGAACAAGGTGTGGCAAGAAGTAAGAGATCAGGTTGTACAAATATAGCAGCTGAGATCATACTACTGTGGAATGGCGGGATCAGCTGAGCAGGAATTAAAGTTCCTCCTGGTTGGCTGGGCACATGGCTCACACCTGTACTCCCGGCACTTTGGTAGGCCCAGGTGGGAGGATCCCTGGAGGCCAGGAGTTCAAGGCCAACCTGGACAACAAAGTGAGACCCTGTCTCTAGAGACATAAATAAATAATAAATTTAAAAAACAGACCAAGACAAGTGTGATTTAAGGGGATATGTATGGGTGCCAAGTTAACAAAGGGTGGGTTGTGGTGGTCTTTTTAGTGTGTCAACCTGGTGAGGCTACTGTCCCAGCTGTTCTATCAAACACACACCCCGTGTTGCTAGAAGGTATTTACTGGATGTGATTAAATTTCATATCAGTTGACTTTAAGTAAAGGAGATGATGCCAGACAGTCCAGCTGGGCCTGATTCAATGAGTTGGAGGACCTTGAGGCAGAGCTCCAGCTTCCTGAGAGAAGGCGGAATGGTAGCCCCAAAGCTGTCTGCTTTGTAATCCCTGGGCCGTGTGACTATGTCAGTTTACATGGCAAGAGGAGAATTAAAATTGCAGATGGAATTAAGGCTGCTAGTCAACTGACTGGAGATAGAGACGTTACCCTGTATTATCTGGGGGACAGGGATGTTGTCACACAGACTTCTAAAGGTAGAAGAGGGGACAGGAGCACAGTCCAAGAGAAAGGTGTGAGGCCAGAGCAACCTGACAGCAGTGCCAACTGTGGGCTTTGAAGATGGAGAAAGTCAAGGGAGTGAGGCAGGATCCAGGAATGTGAGTGGCCTCTAGACCAACATAGAGAAATCCCGTCTCTACTAAAAACACAAAAACTAGCCAGGCGTGGTGGCACATGCCTGTAATCCCAGCTACTTGGGAGGCTGAGGCAGGAGAATCGCTTGACACACAACAGAGGTTGTGGTAAGCCAAGATTGAGCCATTGCACTCCAGCCTGGGTGACAGAGCAAGACTCTGTCTCCAAAAAAAACAAAAAACAAAAAACAAAACAACAACAACAACAAAAACAAGCTGGGGAAGGGGAAGACAGGGAAGCAGATGTGGTCTTAACACCTCTAGAAAGGAACGCAGTCCTGCTGACATGTTAGTGTTGGCCCAGCAAGACTCAGATGAACTCCTGAACTGTAGAAGTGTGATAGAATAAATTTGCATCATTTTAAGCCACTGTTGCCTGTGGCTGCTGTAACACATTATCATAACCTGGTGGTTTAAAACAACAGATAGGCCAGGTGCGGTGGCTCACTCCTGTAATCCCAGCACTTTGGGAGGCCGAGGCAGGCAGATCACGAGGTCAGGAGATCGAGACCATCCTGGCCAACATGGTGAAACCTCATCTCTACTAAAATACAAAAAATTAGCCAGGCGTGGTGGAGTAGCTGGTGGTCCCAGCTACTCGGGAGGCTGAGGCAGGGGAATCACTTGAACCAGGGAGTCGGAGGTTGCAGTGAGGTGAGATCGCGCCACTGTACTCCAGCCTGGCAACAGAGCAAGACTCTGTCTCAAAAAACAAACAAACAACAACAACAAAAAACTAGATATTAATTATCTTGAAGTTCCGGAGGCCGGAAGGCCAAAATTCAAGGCAGCAATAGGGCCTTGCCTCCACCATTCTTTACCTACTCAGTTTTGGGGGCTGCCAGCATTCTATGACTGTGGCTGTGTGGCTGCTTCACTCCCCTCTCTGTGTTCACACTGCCTCTTTCTCTGGGTCTGCTCTCTGAGTGTCTCTTGTAAGCACACTGCTTATTGGATTTAGGGCCCCTTCAGATAATCTAAGATGATCCCATCTCAAGAAGTTAGATCTGCTAAGACCCTTTTTCTTCATATAAGGTAACTGTCTTAGTCTGTTAAAGCTGCTATAACAAAGCACCATAGACTGGGTGGCTATAAACAGGAGAAATGTATTACTCACAGTTCTGGAAGCTGAGTGCCCAAGATCACAGCACCACAGAGTCGGTGTCTGGTGAGGGCCTGGTGTCTGGTTCTCAGTGGCTGTTGTCTGGCT